TTTTGTAAGTAGAAATCCACGTCACTGCGTGCCTTTGTCTTTATACAATAAACGACATTAATTTTGATTCCACACTTGTGTTTCGAGCGAGCGATGGGCTTGAGCCTTGGCTGTGCCTATTGCGCCTTGGCATTTTAACCTGCTCTGCCAGAAGTGTGACGATATCAAACTTTTCCTAATGCTGCGCATCCGATGGAACGTTATGCAACGAGAGCCAGGTAAGTTGAATACGCTAAGGATGGCCGGTCATTAAAGAATTTAAGATATTCCGGAAAAGTTTTGCTGCAAATTGGGTTCATTCTTTGTTGATGGTTACGGACATTTCCTTTGAGGTTTGTAAAGCAGATACAAAAAACAAAACCCGCAGTAACATGCGTCGTTATCCAATACCGAATTCTGGGATTTAAAATTGCGAATCGGAGCTCGGAACAAAATTTAACGGTGACTCACATCGAATCCACCCGCTCCCGTGCCACTAAAAGCTGAGGCTAACCGTTGGGTACGAAACCGATCGATATAAGCTGGTGGTGACAGCCTAAATGCGTGAAAATTACAGAACGAAGTCACCATGCCTTACACCGGTATATCAAACTTTGAAACAGGGTTTCGCGTTATTTTCTGCAGCTTACTTCAGTAAATCGTGTACTGGGATCATCGCGCTACGGGCACTCGCTGGTTTCCAGAAATTTGTGGGCCGTTTATCCGAGTTGAAACCAAAATGTCGTAACTACAACAAACCACTAGCTCGGATCGAAGCTGAACAAAGAGATTGTCACCAATCATTATTCAGCAAATAAGCGCGTGCGAATGGGCCGTATGGTCGGTCGCACCTCCATCACGGCTGGTCTACAGCCCACACCGACGCGCTCCACCGGCGTCCCAGTGACCCGGTGCCCGGCCCGCCAGCGCGACCTTGGCGCGGCGCTCTGCCCGCGTCGTCGCTTGCCGCGATGCGCCGCCTCCGCCGCCGTCGGTGCGCGCCGCCGCTGCGCGCGGGCGGTGCGCGCGGCGGCGCGGCGCGTGCGACGATCGATACGGTCGACGCCGTCGACGGCTGGGGCGGTGCGGAGGCCAGCTGGAGCGCCGATCGTTCCCGAGACAGTGGTGATCGTCGACGGTGTGGACGTCGCTTCCGGCCCGCCGCCGGCACCTGCACCAGGTAAGCGAAGGTCGCACTGCCTGACAGGGGTGGTCAGTGGCTGGGCTGAGCCGGAGGACCTCGGTGGAATCCGTTTCAGGGGGTCTGGTGCCTGTCGCGGCCGCCCCCTGTGTTCTCGCTTCGCCAGGAATTCAGTCGAGGAACTCTACCTGAACTGACAACCCTGTCCTGCGCTGTGTGTGTAGCGGGCCCAGCTGAAAAGAAGCTAAGCTGACGGGGGTCGGAGACGAGTCGGACGCTGTGGACAGTTTGCTTTGCTTTGTTTGGCGTCCCTTTGTCGCAGCGGCGTCTCGGGAGCCGACCGACTGTGCGTTGCCGTGGTTGTGATTTCGCGCGCATGCTCTGCGAGATGGAAACGTTTGGCGACCGGCCGACGGAGAAAGGAAACTAGAACACGACTTGACCTGAGGATCGATAACAAAGTTTGCAAACTTATATGACGGGTGAGTTATTTATATGAGTTAGGTTGTTTCAGCATAACATGTTTTAAAGCATGCGTGCGGCAAGCATTCCGGTTAGAATAATAATCCGAACCATCGTTCTCGTCCGGTGGTACAGGTATACGACATCTTCACCAGCTAATTATCCGGCCGTTGTCAGGTGTTATTGTGTCCTGAGTGGCCATATGAGTGTGTTATGGCCATACAAGTGTCCCAATCCTGATTTTCTCCCTGAAGTTGCCGGGATTCGAACCGGGTGTTCAGATGGCGAACCCAATGTCGTGCCAATGAGGCTACACAAATCATCAAATTGGATGTAAGTTACTTCGAAACGTTCTAAAATACTTCACAGCCGTAGTGGCAACGTCCATTTCCTCCCACGTCACCCGGACATGGTGTCACCAAGACCTTATTTCGCATTGTATATATTTGCGTAACAGTTTGTATGGTTTGTTGCATGCTATGTGTTTGTTTATATATATATATATATATATATATATATATATATATATATACATATATGCAGAACACGCGAACTTGATACCGTGATTATTTGCGGGCATCGTATCGATGTCGTGTAGATACCAGCCTAAGTAACAAGGTACCGGTATAGAGGCTTCAAGGCTTGGCATCCCCCGCTACTGGTGCCTGCTCTTAATGAATTCAGAAGCAGGCGGTTATATACCGGCACTGGCGAACTCGGCGCTACCAGTCAGTGTACTGGTGCCGTGCACTTGGTGAGGATGTAATACGCCTGCTGGTACTGTCCAACCCAACGCTCGCCCCACGCTTATATTTCCACAGCTGACATTGCCGCAATGCTCAGCTAGTGCTCGATGAATGCAGGGGATTGACGTTACAGTGGTTCTTTAGAATTCTATGGACCGCTTCCATGCAAAACGTAAGAATTGGGCAATTATGAAATGTGGGTTGTCAAAGAGATTTTCTAGAATGAACCTACAGGTTGCACTTCGCTGGAACGTCGGCTGGCTTTGAGTCTCCCAATGCCTGCATATTTAATGGACGAGGTGGATGAACATAGAATAGTTCTGTTTCCGATGGCTTTAACGAAAGCATCGCGAACAACGGTAACCTCTTGACAGGGTATTGATTCGAATGGCCCAAATTACGCACCTATTTATTTTCATGGCCTGGCCTACTTCGGTCTAGACCACCGCGTGCTGTGTGCGAAGCCGGTTTGGGAAAAGGTGGCATTGGCTTCTTTACGGTCTTCTCCCCTCGCATATGTGTGTCGGACAGTGTTGGAGTCGCTTAAGTGTACGCGGTCGGTGCATTCGGCTATGCTGAGAGTGTAGTTGCAAATCTCAATGGTCTGAAAACAAGTGGATCCTTATTTTGTGCACGATCGAACGTGGCAGCTTTTACACATTGACAAAAGAACGCAATGGTGTACATATCAGCAAACAAGTCGTACTGGTGTTTATTTGAGGTCAGTGACCTTGCTTGACCTTACGAAGCTCATGATGATTGAACGTGAGTGATTATGTTAGGCTGTACGCTCATAAAAGAAAAAGTCGATTTCGGTTATTTCGGGTCAGTGACCTCTGAACTTTAAAATGTCCAAAGGAAGTGCCTCTTGCCGTCCCTGTAATCAAGAAATTCGATATCAGCATCAGAAACTTCCCCATTAAGTAAGCTACCCAGTAAAAATGCAGATTGATTTTGGCTTCGGTCTGGCCTTCATACCTGGCCCAGGTAATTTGTCGTAATACTAAAGTTGATCGTCCAATCGTATAATTGTCTAAGAAACCATTTCAGTGACGCACGGCTTCGTCTAACACTCCGTTGTGGTACCAGATTGAACGATTCCCTAGAAATGGACTCTGCTAGCAGCCACGGCCTGACTTTTACCTGTCATTGGTCAGCGACCTTACAAGGTACAGCTAGGTTTGAATGAAAATGTTGATTGTTCGTTTCCGTACAGCTGTGCAAAGTTGGACCCTTCCGCGCTGCGTCGTTCAGAAATCCTTCTGGAAAAGCTTTCGGAGTGGCCAAACTGACTACCACTCGAGCGCGTGTTAAATCTGTTCGAGCTGTGACCTCGTTTTTAGTGAAAGCGTATAAAAATGGTAACAATTACAATAACGATGCCTAAGAACAATGAAAAGTGGTTCTTAAAAGGGTCACGCGCCCGACACCGACACACGATTTCCGACAGTTCGTCATGAATCTGTTGGTTGACCTACGCCGACATTTACCGATATTTTCTTGCGACAGTGCGCATTTGGAAACTGTGTATGGGACGCGCTGAACTGTTAAAGAAGCCCTTATGTATTTGAGGGACGTTACCGTGCCCCGTCTATGCAGCATTTGGCGACTGCTTCAATTTAGCATGACCATAAAACCTGGTAGCAAACATGGGGATGCTAACCGGGGTACAGGCATAACAACAGCACGAGATTTGTCGCATGTCTTGACCTTTTATTTTCATTTGTTTCCTGTCTCACATTCTGACATGCGATCTCTCAAACGGAGTCGATTTTGTCAAGTTGGCTGGTACCGTTTATATGTTTAACTGGATGGTGTTTGTGTTTGTCATGGTGTTATCCGTCATTGTGCCCATTTGTACTACCTAACGTAGCATTAGCAATCAAGTATATTAAAATTAACAATCAGGCTACAAAGACAAGCATTCCTTGAAGAACACTCAGAAAACAAGCACGATTGTGTACCGTACAACATCCGAAAGGATGATCGTTAAAGGAATCCAGGCAGAACACAACAAAAACAAACTGCGCTTGATTGCGATATGCACGCTAACGATATCAGCGGTGATCTTCGAGGCGGAAGCAGCACAAGATGCTTCATCAAGTTCAGTGAGAAAACGCCATGCCATGGATTTTGAAAGTACGAGATTCGATGGTCTTATCATAACTCCCAAGGACTATATGAGGCGACGAAGACCGACAGTGCTTGACAGCAAAGTGCCAGTTGCACATAGCCCAGCGCCAGCAAAATTTCATTGCGATCCCAAGATACCTGCACCAACAAAAGTTTCCATATCTGTACATATTGCCGAAATAAGCTTAGTGTCCAATGGCGAAGTTACTCTGTCCATGTATCTGCGCTACTCGTGGGAAGACTTCAGGCTTACTCACATAAAAAGAAACGCGCTTGGAGGCTATGTAGAAATTGCCTCAACCGTGAAAAATATGCTTTGGCTGCCAGATTTGTATATACCAAATGCTGCCACCGTTATTAATCCAGTGATCTTTGTACCTTCAACCAGTTTTCGCATCTACGAAAACCACACCATCTTCGCAAACCAATATCTGGTTCTAGAGCTTTCTTGCCCCTTCAACTATGCCCTTTTTCCCATGGACGTACAAATATGTGACATTGCCCTTCAAAGCTTCGGTTCCTCCCCGTGCGAGACAAACATGACCTGGGCGGAACACTTGCCTCTAACCTACTCGACCTCTACCCTGTCGCAGTTCTCGTACCACTTACACAGATCTAATGACGGAGCTGAGAAAGGTGTATTTCACACGAGCAGCAAGAGCGTCTACGAGCGCTCCCAGATCCACATGTACGTGGTCCTCACACGCAAGATCATGTTCTACATGATGCAGATCTACATTCCGTCGATGCTGTTCGTGGTGGTGTCGTGGATCTCATTCCTGATCCCGGCGGAGATGGCGCAGGGTCGCATGCTGCTCACCATCACCACCATGCTCACCATGGTGTCGCTGTTTGCTGCCGGCAGTGAGTACGTACCTAAGGCCAGCTACGTTAAGGCAATAGATGTGTGGATGTGCCTGTGCACTTTCCTCTCTTTCTTCGCGGTGGTCGACTGCCTGGCGGACGTGCGGCTGGAGAGCATGCTGTCCGGCGAGAGCCGGCGGAAGGCGACCGACACGTTCGTGCTGACCGGCCAGGCGCGCCGCCAGACAGTGGTGGAGATCTTCATGAAGTACGCGCGGGCAGGAGGCGCTCCGGCGCAGGGCGAGGACCCCGGCGAGCGGGACGAGCAAATCGCGAGTGCGAACACGTTGACAGAAATGCTGGTGAAGTGGTTTTTCAAGGCACACCGGGCATCCGTCATTGTGTACCCGGTAGTGTTTATCCTGTTCAATATTGTGTACTGGGTGGTGTGCCTCGGAACCTTGGAGGAACTGGACTTGGGTGCACGAGGTGTTCCAGTTTAACCGCTTAGGCAGTGGATCGTTGTTATACTTTTTTAGTCCGCGGACGAACATGTTGCGGGCTCGTTTTGTGTGTCTGGAAAGTTGCTGAATATATTTTACAAAGTTTGATGTTTCTTCAGTGCAGTGGAAAGATAAATACCGGGTACTACCTGCAGTAGAGACGCCCAACGTTCAGTTACGCGGGGCATTTTTCCTGGACTCGTAATACGCAATCCAAACTATACGAAGGCGGCGATTGCTTACAACAAAAGATCAACAAGACAAAAAAACATGGGGACATTAGTGCTATTCACAAAACACAACTTACCCGTAAGCTGGGGAAATATGATGTGCTGGAATGATGGAATGTAACATGATCGAATAACACATCGGACTTCCGGCCCTTGTGAAGTCCTAACTGCGTTTTGCCAGCACTTATATTTAAGCCATTGTAATGTCATTCGTCTATGACGTGGTCTTCATTTGGAAAAGAGATCCGTGTGGAGAGCTTGTCAATCCGTTTTATAAGGATCTGATGTTTCGTAAATATCTTTGCAAGAGAACTGCGAAAAATTGTTGTGCGTCATTGGGCACCAAGACTGGGGTGCGGGGAAGTCGTACGCAAATGAAAAATGAAGGAGGGGAAAATGATAATGCGACCTCAGAGCTACATGTTACATGTGTAAGTATTGTTCAGAATGAATGTGACCATCTACCAATGTTTCATTTCTTCTTGAGCCTCATTTTCCCGAGACGCCATGGGGATAGGTACCTTCCAGTTAAAGGCAGCCCTCCTCCAGTAAAAGGGCAACGGATCCTTACCATTGGGTAGTGGGAGTATGAGTGTGTCTTAGGATCAAAAATAGCTCACGAGTGTCGTTGATGTATGTGTCGGTGTCAAAGAGTTGAGGTGTCTACATAGAAATAAAGGTGTGTTAGAGATAGAGCGTGCTAGAGACGGATGAACGCATAAATGCGCGCATGGTGATGCCCGGATAGAGTAGAAAATACTATTGCTATACGCAGTTAATTAGTTGCGAATGCCTCTTGTTCAAACATGCAAATATGAGCAGTTCCTGAAATCACTTAGACACTCAAATGCGCCAGCTTTCAGGTGCAGGAAATATGGTATTTCCTCTATGCTTACCCTTACGATAAAGCCGGGTACAAAGCTGCATCAAAAGCCGTTCAGCCCCCAAGGCCGCCCATCCATTAACATTTCAACAACTCCAAAGATGGGGCAGGCCGCCAGTGAGATTAGAACCATGAACACAGATTGGAGATCCACGATCCCGTCACAATTAATCGGCCCCTTCTGTCTGAGCACTAGCCTTCTCAATAAACACTGCTTGGTCCCGCGAATGGCGTCATATGCCATCTTACGGGAAATTAGTGTGGCTCGAGTATCACCATCCATCATGCCATACTCGATTAATTATCTACGGTGTTGGAGTAGCCAGTAGCTGCAGCAGCGGCATCGACCAGCTGTACTTGGAACGGCCCCGGCTAGGCCGTGCCGTCTGACCCGCCACCGGTCACGGCGATGACGTCATCACAAGCGGACCGGGGAACGACGAGCTTCTGAAAAGAATGCGCATTACACTTACTGGACAGCACCGTGGAGAAGTCTTGGACACCTTCCCCGGTCCATTCCAATCCGCGTGATCCCTGATGTTGGAAGAATCTTGTGGTTGAGGGTTGGGGAACTATGATGGGAGCTGCGCGTCGCGATGAAAGTATTACGGTTTTGGAATGCCGCGTCACGAAAAGCAACGTCAAAGAAAAGCAACGTTGTGCCGCGTTTTTAATATGCATAGCTTTAGACGGCTAATCGTGTTAAGTGTACCAACGAGAAATGTCTAGATCGCTAACTTTTCAATGATCTACGGAGACAAATATTGGCATGCACACGTCCATCTACGTTTGCTATACATTCGCGTGCTTGCCCGTAATGACAGATAATCTGAGTCTTCCCACCCACTCATGAAGACACCACGAACTTTCAATTTCGCTTCTCCTTTGAAAACCTGACTGACCGACGCACTCCGGCGAAACGACACCCATGTCGACATTTAACGCCAGGGTGAAATATCAGCCATTTGTCTAGCGGCCAGCCCGATAAATCGGCGCTCCGTGTTATCGGGTCAGCCTCGGCGTGCCGCGTCAACGGGCCCTCACGGGCGCGGCCGCCGCTGACACCGGCGCGCCGCGCCCCGGCTGAGGCGCGACGGCCGCCGGCCGGCAGCGCCATGCCGTCTATTTGCGTCTGGAGCGGAGGCGCGGAGTCGCCGCCGCGAGCCGGGGCGACATTCCGCCGCCGTCGCCGATCCAGGCCAATGTCTTGTGTACGGCGGCCGGGGCGCAGGGAGGGGCGCGCGCCCGCCGAGCGGCCCGTGCGGCCCACTGCGCTGGGTTCTCAGGCGCTGTGACGGACGCTGCCTGAGACCTATGGTAATTTGAAGGGTAGTTCGACCGTTTACCTCATTGGAAATCGGGGTGTTTGGGTCAGAAAGGGAGGCTATAAATCTAGGAGATGAATCTTAACCCGTTCGCACGGACAGGGCTCGGGTTCCTGGAAACGGAGCCCGTTCCCTGTTCATGTAGCCAAATTAAGAGTCATTGTGGGGCTGGAAACGAGTGTCAATGCATGACATTTGACAAAACCCGGAGTATGTGATTGGCTGGATGCAGCCAGGATTTGTGGCTGAATCGCGACATTTTTGTTAGGCACCAGTCCTAGCTACACTCATGGCGCTTACGCACTGCAAACAGACTACAGACTTAACAAACGCTAATAGGTCTGGTACCCAACGCATCAATGAATTCTCAGTGCTGCTTTGCCCCGGCACTGAAAGCCAACAGCTGAGCTGCGTGCTGTACACATCCATCCGCCTATTCGCTGGCCTGGAACTAAATTACTGTTGTTGAACGCAGGATGCCATTTTCCATGTTACTCTATGAGATTTTAAACCGAAATAATTTACTAGATTACAAAATGATATCCAGCAGTGCCATGGGAACAACTGTGCTTGATCCTGAGAGGCAGGACTAAAGTCCCATGATCCCTTCCCTTGGCTGTGCCCCTGGTGACACCGATTACCGACTATGGTAGCATCCGTCCTGTCTGCCCACGCGACAGCTTTAAAATGCACGAGCTGTGGTAACCAAGTCTGAACAAGACGAGCTTCCTGACGGGCATGTGCAAACCCCACGCTTAGGTTACGTCCCATCTCCATCTCCGTGCGGCGGGACAGCCCGCGAGTGTGAATTAGGCTGGCGGGAAGAGGGTGACAAGCGGTGCAACCGACATCCGCACGCATATTTTTAGCCCTGGCGCCGGCGCCCGCTGGCCGAGGCCGTCCCGGGCCGCTGCCAAGTCGAGTCGAAAGTCCGGCGCGCCCGCCCAGGCCGGCCGCCGCCGACGTCGGCGCGGATCATGTGCACGCTGGCTGCCGACCAACCGACATTTTCGTGGTCTTCGACATGATTTGGTTCGTTTGCTGCGAAAGCGTGGATGACTGCCTCCGGGGGCCTGAAGGTCAACGTACTCGTTTGCTGCATTGTCAAAAGAGAAGACGTTTCTCCGCACGGAACTTTGTGTGGAGAAATGTGAATGTCAGAAGCACCGCTAAGAGCAGCAAAATTCTGTCAAAACTATGTGAACTAAAATTGAATCGTCTATGAGGATCATGATTATTCTCAAAGGAATAAATATTAAGCTAGAGTCCTATACGCGCCCTGATTCTCCTAGCTGTTCAAAGGTGTATATATTTGTGATCTCAAGATCACGTGATTTGACCCTTTCGGCTCGTGTAGTCGCGACGAACATACGCGTTCCAATAACAATGTATGTGTAGCTATTACGCATAATGCGACCATACACGCACATATATGTATGCCTATATAAATGTGCCATGCACACATACTCACACACACACACACACACACAAACACACACACACACACACACATATATATATATATATATATATATATATATATATATATGTGTGTGTGTGTGTTGTGTGTGTGTGTGTGTGTGTGTGTGTGTGTGTGTGTGTGTGTGTGTGTGTGTGTGTGTGTGTGTGTGTGTGTGTGTGTGTGTGTGTGTGTGTGTGTGTGTTTGTTGTATGTTTTGTTTGTATGTTTTGTCGTCCTGTGGTCAGCACCTAGCACACGTTGCTGCTGGTTAGCGAGCCGCCTGTTTCCACGAATTTCGAAGCATGGCTTTCCGTCTGTATCTGTGCTGTGGGGAGAAAATTTATCCCATGGGCTGAGCAACGATCTCACTTCTGGGTTTGTTTGGAAAAAGGGTTTATTTTTCCGTGTCTGTTTGGGTATGTTTAGTCCGCGATGACGTGTTACCGTAAGCAGTCGGCATTCTGCCCCACACCAGAACCACAGGCGCATTTCGTTATGCCGGCATGGTAATGACATTGATTTTTGCATGCATTGATTGTTGCATTGGTTAGTTTCAGTGAGGAGTGTAAACGAATTAAGCCACGTGTTCTGTGTTCGGAATGGAGCCAGTGAGCGTCTGGAACTAGGGACTGGCAATCATTCAGCAGACAGTGAACCGCAGGAAAGAACCATTGGGAACAAGGATACAGGGTCTCATTTCATGAGGAGCAAGTGAGAACGAGGAACCAACGTCGGAAAATTGGAACGCAAAGGCAAATGTCAGCTTTCGTAGCAACCCACCCTTCGACCTGTTGGCTGGTCCCAGGTTGGAACGGTGGAAGTCAGCTCGGTCAGCTCATCCCATTATGAAGCTTTTAATGAAACATGAAGGAAACTGAAAATGCTGCCATATCGTAGCATCTGCGCAATATATGCAAAAACAAGCTGAATCCGTCTATCAATCGCCGGGCATCCGTGTGTAACATTAACGTGTTGGTCGTTTATCGGCATCTTCTGATCGGCTAATATATGCACCAGCTCTTCATAAACCTAGGTAATAGATGCCGCATGCACTAACCTGGCATGTGCTTATCCAGGGCGCAAGAGCTATCGCCAGATATCCGGTCGTGTGCTCGTCATATTTGTGGTATGCTTTTTATAGCGTGAAATTTTGATCGATCGTTGTGGTTGTGGATAGTTTTATTTCATTTATTACATATGGAATAAAAATTGACTTGATCTGCCCCTCGGGCTATGGGGGCAGCCTTCTGCACTTGCCAGTTATAAAGAGATCAGCTGAAATGGGCGAGTGGGTGGCATATATGATGCTTCCTTCCATGTGTCACATTACAGCCAGTCGGCAGCCAATTTGTTCACTGCACCAGAGGTGCGCGCAACATTGGTGTGTTGAACCTCGTGTTTGCATGTGTTGCTCTCAGCCATATGAAATTGCCCGGATTCAAAAGCAGATGCTCACACCAAGGTTCCTTCAGGGTATATTTGTCCAAAATTATTTTTGTAACATTGTGATGCTATGGATTACTGGCTGGAGTAACATGTGTTTTATGACCTGGCACTCATGCTCATGCTCATCCAGGAAATAATTAATTTTAATCTGTATTTTTGTATAGTAAAATGTATATTAGGCTGCACAGATCTACTTAGCATAGCAGAATTTGTTGAAATTTAGCCCTATCTGAGTTAAGCTCATGCAAGGGCAAGTTTCAGCAAGCTTACAAGTGCTGGTGCATTGGATGAATTTTTTTGCACCCTCTGACCTGTTTGAACTTCAGAGTCCTTCACTCATGAAATACATGTGTAATAAACATCACCACTCCCTATGGTAGTGTGCACAATTGGTGGCAGCATGTGGATCATAATTTCACTGGAATGAAACAGCCTTAGATTGTTTAACCACAACATATGTTATGTTTGAGTATTTTCATTGATAATGGTTGCCACATAATCCAGCTCTCTGGATATGTTACAGGCCTACAATTAAGTACTGTTGATGTGACTTTCTGTGCTTGTTTGTAATTGCACTCTACATGCTCACATACTCATAATTAATTGGCTCATGAAGAGCTGGGCAGATTTATTAAGCAAAACATAAGTTGCTATGTTGTGTTCTGTTCCAAGCAGTATAATGGCGTAGTGTGTTGGTCTTGAATACTGTAAGCCATTGTTCCATTCCATGCTCATTATTAAGTGTATCATTGGTGTCCCACTTTCTGGGAATGCCTTGTTTGTATTTGTGTCCATGAAATGTTGGGTATATCTGTTGTCAAATAGTCACTCCAGAATGCTCTGTGAGATTGGACATGATGTCAGACATTTATTTCTTATGATAATTGTTGAGGCTTATGGGTGTGCAGAAATCTGTCATTTTGCACCCAGGATGATATTTTTGGCACTGGGCCTATTTTTAATTGGTGAACCTTCGCTGAGTGTGTGGGTGATGATTCATTATGTTTGTTATGTCTGAAGGAAAACATGAGTAATGCTCACTACAACCTACCCTTTAAGCAAAAAGTTGGTTGGATTTATTTCCTTTTGGAATGGCTTATCACCTTGCCTCCAGAAGATCTTTTTAACCTTCACTTGGTGTTCATTCAGTATGCATTCTCAGTGGGAAAAATTCCTCCAAATGAATTTATTCAACAGCACACAGTTCCATGTCAGCATCCTATCAGCCATCAGCTTACCCATCAGCTGTGTTGTGTCAAGCCTGCTGACCAGGCATCCCCCCCCCTTCGTCAGGTGTTAGCGCTGTCCCGCCAGCACCGCCCGGCGCCTGCTATGACCAGCTGCTCCCGCTGCACCTCAAGTAGCCAGGTGAGCCCCTACACCGCAGCTCTGGACCGACCATTGTGCACACCTAGCCGCGCACTGCTGGTGACGTGCGTCAGTGCCACACTGCTCGCTCCCCAGGTGTCCTAGGTGGTGTCCAAGAAACGATTGCAGCAGCCCTTTACTGTGTGCTACGCCTATAAACAGCCGTAGCGTATAACGTTCGAAGAGCTGACATGTCGGAAGGCATCGCAATATGGGCATCAGTTGTGAACCTGCATCGCGACTATAAACCTCCGGATGGGCGCTGGGCGGGTTCCCGTCCACAGCAAATTCTGTGCTGGTTATCATTATGACCGGATCGCGGCGATGACCTGACACGAATCGTAAATCGAAGAGTCAGCCGAACGGAAGCGTGCGCTTGATTGAGGCTTCGTTCATCGCGGCCGGCAGGGCACTTAAATTCGCGACGCGACGCTTTGTTGGAATTACGTTCGATGCCACTTCCATATCTCTCTGTGGCATCGATTTACATTGGGATCCTTTTCGATGGGATGCATATGCCGTCATGAAAACTTTTTTATGATCCCCTGAACTTGCCTGAAAACCTGCTTTACATATGTGTATGGGCTACATGCATATTACTGTGTTGGCACCCCAGCTAGTCCGTCAGTTATCGCACAGACCATGCGCAATGAAGGTAAAGAAAGTGGCTCAATCACTCACCATCCCGGTGCGCCAGGCAGCAGCAGCCTCCAGCCTGAAAATTGACCTTACTGTTCAAATTATTGGCTGTGTATGTTCAGTGCATGTGCCTATATAGTGCGATACGACATGCCAGTGATATGAATTCTTAGGCATTGACGGAACATTGTGAAGATACAAAACGTTAAACCCCCGTCGTAGATAGTCGAGGATCACTTAAGTGTAATCGTTATCGTTAGTAACGTATGTATCCCAAGGACTTACCGATGCTTTTGCCTGGGGCCGCCGCGGCCAGTCTGAAAAGGCCAGCATATTGCTTTTCATCGGCACCCGACTTATTCCATGCGTTGTATGTGGTCTTGCCAAAAGAAATACCCAGGTGAAAAGGCCGGACCTGTAACTCAGGGCCGCCCTGTGTTTGTCTCCCAACTTTTGTGTGATGTTCTCATATACAAACAACCAGGTTGTGTAAAGACTTGCTGGCAGCTGGCCCGAACGGCGACACCATGTGGCTATGTGTTATGCGGAACGACTGTTTCCTGCATAGTGCTGTCTTTTAACCCTATTCATGAGCAGCGCCAAGGCCGTGAATCCTGACCGGGTCATCTCTCTCTCTCTGTGCCCCCCTCCCCTCCCCCCATATCGGATAGCAGAGCCGAATAAACGAATCGGCTTACGGGTGACCGGAGATATTTTTCGCAGCCTTTAGATTAGCGTATGACTGGAAACCAAACGTACTTTTGTAGAATCCCCATTTTGTTCAGACACATATGGGAGTGTAAAGTATGCAGATATTTTCTCTATCAGCCAGGCGTAAAAAATTCAAACTCGCATGGGATGCGAACATTATAAACAACCGTAACTGGTGATTGTCTCCAAGGAAAGGTAATTTGTGATTCCCTAAACTAGCATTCACCCGGAAGGCGCTAGTGTCAGCAGAACACCTACCACATATAACCCGTACATGAAGGGTGAAAACCGGGACTGAGACATCGGCAATCAAAATCGTAGCTATACGAGATCAACACGGTCTGAGTGCGACAAGCCAGGGCAATTCATTTCACGCGAATGCACGTCCCTTCCAGCAGCGGAGCACGCGCACTCGAGCGCAATCTGTGTTTCCGCCGGTTTTTGGAGGCTTTTTGGGATCAGAGTTGCCGCTGAGAGCAGATAACAATAAAAACTTTAAAGTTTATGAATCAGGTGCTCCAAGGCAGCTTTCGATTACAGCTGAGGGCCCCCACATCGATATCGTAGCGTCACTGATCTTTTCGTCCCCATCTGCTGATGCCTGCTTTGCTGTCCAGTGGCAGGCAAAGGATGGCTGTCCGGCCCCATCTGCCGATGTCTGTCATGCTGCCCAGTGGCAGGCAGCAGATGACTGTCCGGCCCCATGTGCCGATGTCTGCTTTGCTGTCCAGTGACGGGCAGTAAATGGCTACTCGGCCCCACCTGCCGATGTCTGCTTTGCTGTTCAGTGGCAGGCGGCGGATGGCTGTCCGGCCCCATCTGCCGATGTCTGATTTGCTGTCCAGTAGCATGCAGTGGATGGCTGTCCGACCCCATCTGCCGATGTATGCTTTGCTGTCCAGTGGCGGGCAGCGGATGGCTGTCCGGCCCCATGTGCCGATGTCTGCTTTGCTGTCCAGTGGCAGGCGGCGGATGGCTGTCCGGCCCCATCTGCCGATGTCTGATTTGATGTCGATGCCTGCCTTGCTGTCCAGTGGCAGACTGGATGGCTGTCCGGCTTTCGTCTGGCGCCAGCTGTATGTGCGGCGGGCGCTGCGAGCCCTGCGGCGCCTCCACCAATCGGCCGGCGGTCGGCCGTCGGGCCGGTCCGCACCGCTCGGCGGCAGATAATGGAGCCGTCGCATGCCAGTGGGTGCGTCCTCTGGCCGGCTAAAGATCGATAGTTCGGAGCGCGACGTCAGCTCAGTGTGTGTGTGCTTGCTGATGCGGTTGCGGCGGATGTTGCGCCTCGGCCGGCCAATTCGAATTGCTCAGCTGATGCCAGTCAGGTGGTTTGCTGTTCCCTTGGTCCGGTAGAGGTAATTTGTCGCTGTAACCCGCGCCCCACCGGGGAGGTGACTTCCTCCCGAGGTTTTTCGAGCGCAGGTTAAAAACGAACAATCGCAGCAGCACAAAATTTGTATTACCTGTTCATCTGTCAATGTTGCATCGTTTGTGAAAGCTAAGTTTCTGATCTACTGAGATCAGTGACCTTGGTGAGGTCAGAGAGCTCAAGCTATAAATAAATCTTGACCACATTCAACTTTTGTGTGGCTCATTTGCCGTTGTTCGGACTTGTTTTTGTAATAGAACATGATAGAACCTAAAGCTTGCATATTTCAGATTGCTTGTATGCATCTGATTTTTCGGAAAAGGCATGGTGAGTTATCTTAAATTAGGGCAATTTTGCTGTTTGTACGTAAATAATGCAAATTTGTACGAATTTTTGTGTACTTTTTGTGTTCTCATATTACGTTAAGAGTACTAATCTATATGCACAACCATCAAATGCATAGAGCACATCGCCTTGGCCTAGATCATGACCTACCTCTGTTGGTACCTTCTGCCTTGGTACCCCCCACCCTCCCTCGGCTGGGTGCAGTTGTCTAAGACCCTCGGCTGGGCGCAGGTTAAAGGTCCGTTTTAGGTTGTCTGTCGATGAGTTGGCCTGTTGGCGGTGATCCAACACTGGGTTGGTCCGTTCAACACGGCCCACTATTCTAACGGTCCGTTTGAGGCACTTTGCTGTGGTACCCTTCGCTTGAGGTACTCCGCTGTTCTGTGGATCCTTTTACGTTGATCCGTTCTCCTGGCGGCTTGTTAGGGATAGTCTGCCGTTCTGGCGGCTCGTAACAGGTGGTCCGCAATTTTACTGATCGGCAAGAGACGGTCCGCCATCCTGCCGGTCCTTTGGAGGTAGCCTGCAGTTTCGCCGGTCTGTCTGGTGTTGCCCGCTGTTCGGCCGCGCCGTCGTTAATGGTCGGTTGCCTGTCTGGGCCGTCTGTGATGGTCCGCTGCTCCTCTGATTCGTCTGCGGTGCTCTGCCGCTCCTCTGGGCCGTTTGTCGTTGCCCGCTGCTCCTCTGGAAGGTCTGTTGTTTCCCGGTGTTCCTCTGGACCGGCAGCGGTGGTCCGGTGTTCCTCTGGAGCGTCGGCGGTGGTCCGGTGTTCCTCTGGACCGTCAGCAGCGGTCCACTATTCCCCTGGGCCGTCTGCGGCGGTCCACTGTTCCTCTGGGCCGTCTGCGGCAGTCCGCCGCTGGGCACTGCCGCCACTGGAGGCGGAAGTACGCTGCCGGCCGACTATCGACCGCTTCCTGGGACTGGCAACGGCGCCGCGAGACGCCGCCTCCGCGCGCCGGGCACTGAGCACCGGGCACGCGGTGCCCGGCCCGGTCCTCGCCGCCCACGGCCGGTGCGGACCGGGTGCCTCCCCCGGGGTATCTGGGCCTCGGTGCCCGACCACCGCAAATGCACGCCACGCGGGGGAGTAATGCTGGCTTAGTCGTGGCCTTGAGGCCTGACGCCTCATGCCGTCCATCGCCGGAGCGTCCACGTTACGTCCTTTCGACGACCTGTAGCCTGGAAACAGTGAAATGGAATCGCGTTGCTCAGCAAGGCGGGGGCACGCGACTCTGCTGGGCTGTCGCATTGTACGCCGCTGACTTGACTGCAATGGCTGCAAGGCGACATTTTTCGGTAGTCTCGCGGACAGCTTGTCACCGCCGTGACAGCTTTGGTGTTCAGAACAGAGCAATCAGCAGCGCGTCAGCCGCGTCGTTACACGCGACTCCTCGTCCAAAATCCTGACAGCGGTTTTTATGTTTTTAGGTTATGCCGCGGTCTTTGTGTTGGCAGCGCCTTGGGGCCAGTTGGCGGACGCCGCGGCCTTTGTGTGTGTGTGCGCTCACGGCTGTCAGCGCGTTACGCCGAGACCGCAGGCGTTGGCGGCCTTTGTGCCGCGGGCAGGGAGGGGGTCGGGCGGCGACAGCAGGCCCCTGTCCGTCACTGGAGCGCGCCGTCGGCGCTGCGTGCCGCCCTTAGTAAGCCGTGGGCAGAGGCACGCTCGCGGCCCGTCCTCCCATCGATTCGGCGTCCGGCCCAGCCGCGTGGAAGTTATCTCGGCGCCGCGCCGAGTTCGCCCGTACCGCCGGCCCAGCTCCGGCGGCGGCCTGCGCCGGGCTCGACTGGCGGTGCCCCGGGTCCTGCCACCGCTCATGACGTACGCTGCTCGGCTCGGCTGATGGGTCTTGGGATCACGGCCCGTGGCGTGCTGCGCTCAGTGGAGTTTGGAGGTTTTCATAACCGGATCTCGGCTTCCGTGGTGCTCCCG